TGTCACACCAGTGTATACTCATCTTTACATCACAATAACTGTATGTTTTGTATATACATATATAGCCAAGTGAAAATAGTTTAGTCTTATTAGTTTTAATTTTAATGTGAAATTGTGTGAATTGAAGAAACGAAGGGATAGTTTTTGAGGAGGTAATTTTTAAATGGCATCATGGATTTTTTCATCATATATAAATAAACCACAGGAATTTGTTTACGACTTGCTTTAAATTTGGACATGTCCGTTCAGACGGTTGCTGCTATTTAAGGCTCTGCCAAACCTTTTGAAAATGTCTACTGAGAATCTTATAATCACTGTTTCTGCTATTTAAGGCTCCGCCCGACCTTTTCGATATGTACGTTCAGACACTCATAATTACGGTTGCTGCTATTTAAGGCTCCGCTAAACCTTTTGAAAATGTCTACTGAGAATCTTATAATCACTGTTTCTGCTATTTAAGGCTCCGCCCGACCTTTTCGATATGTACGTTCAGACACTCATAATTACGGTTGCTGCTATTTAAGGCTCCGCCTGACCTTTTGGACATGTCCGCTCTGACACTTATAATCACGATTGCTGGTATCCAAGACCCCGTCGCAGCCACAGGTAAGCCAAATGGCCACCGTTGAATGGTATCTGTATACGATTACATGATAATATTGACTCGAACATATTTTATTGGATGCATAATTGTATAATAAATACTTCATTAATTATTCAGTGGATTTTATTAAGATATTTACATAACCAAAAGTTTAAAATGTGGGTAGACGTTATCACAGCCACACCGTTTTATGCCATGATGTCATTTACAAATACGTTTTGAACTGATTTAATAATGTAATAGAATCGTCGCCTACTTTATGTAAGATCTATTTATATCAATATGTTTACTTTTATTTATTAAGTTTTATAAGTAAATGAATGAGATTATTGAATTTTTCGTTTTATTATATTTTTTAAAACAAGGATGACAAACGACGAGTACACTAATCGTTTATTTATTTTAAACTTTGTTACATAAAAATGGTACAAAGGTGGAAAGTTAACGCCTTAAGGAAGTATGTAGATTGTTGTAAATAGAATAATTTAAAATTAAGAATTTTATACAAACAACTTCAATATATTATGGATAACCACTTGTTCAAGAAATGATGATGACCCTGCGTGACAATTACTTTACCTCAGTACTAACTAGCTATATCTAGTGAGGTGAAAATGATTAGCCTCCATTCCTTAGTTATTTTTATGAGCGAGAACTTCGCAGTACTTAGTAAATGGGCACTACAATTTACAGACATACTGACAAAAATAATGGTGAAGGCTAATCAGCGATGACAAAAATGCTTTGTTACCCCTGAGGTCTATGAGATCAAAAGCGATCAAAGCTTAATTATATTATCTGTAATGAGTAAAAGGTGATACTTACCTAATATGTAAAAGTGTTAAGTCTTAGTCTATACATGTGTGGCGACGCTGTCGTCGCGCCACAAGCGAAACACATCAAAGCCTAAATCGCGCTAACAAAGTTCCGAAGTAAAGCAGTATTTATATAGAATACCTCCGGACTACCTTGCCTGGCGGGAGATTTCCCCTTTTCCTTTAATGGCTAGATTGGTGACCACCCGACGTGTTCACATCACGCAACCAACTACCTTCGGAAGACTTCAAGCCTTCATCATTATTCTCAAGAACCCATAACATTTACTCTTAAGAATCGTCTTCTGCAGTTTTCAGCTCCTGCAAGCCAGTCCAACATGTCTTCATCTCGACTCACCGCAGATTTATAGAGCAGACTTCTGGCACTTGCTCTGGCCCATCATTCTTATCGGCGTCACTTGCCCTTACGAACATAGTATGCATTCTCTACCGTCATTAAGGATGCACTGGCAATCAGACTGCACTATCGGCTTCCGGTCTGAGCAGGGGGGTGACGTGGCGGCGCCACAAGCGAAACACATCGATACCTAAATCGCGCTATTAAAGTTCTGAAGTAAAGCAGTATAATATATATAGAATAGCTCCGAACTACCACTCGGAACGTTGGCCGCTCTCCGGGCGAACAACTTGACCGGCGGGAAACCTCCCCATTTCTTTTCACGGTCAAACATGTCCCACTGATGGTTGCGGGCTTCCTCCCGTGAAATGCGGGGGTTTTTGGGCATAGCAAATTAAACTTTAAGTTCCTCTATAACGCACTTAACTGAGTTAGGTACGTATACATTATTACAACGCAGTTAATGAATGTGGCCGAGAAAAGAAGAACGCCGAGGAAAACCTGCTTTATGTTCCCATCTGAGAAGGAAGAGGGCGTGAGTTGTTGTCTCTCAAGAGCGCCTAACGCTGGTGAGACCGAGGGTGTGCGAAAGTCCTTCCTCACAGCCTATCAAAATCCACTGCTGAACCATAAACATCTTCACTGATTGCCTCATTAGAGGGATATTTACTATATTTGTCACGCTTGGCAAGCGCATTATTTTTATTTTGTAATTGTTTCCTATCAGAAAGACGTTGCTTCCATAGCATTCCTACCCATATGCGCCGAAGTTAGGACAGTGGTTTTAGTCGATGCGAGCTTAACATAAACAGTCCTTGCCAGGCTATACGTAGCGTAGGCAAAAAAGATACTATACTCAACAACAAGTTCAAACGTAGTGTTCTTAACAAAAAGGTTTTCCATATCTGATAACAGTGGTCAGTGGTCACGGCATATGTGTGAGCGCAATGGGTTCTCCAGGGATTATGTCAAAATGACTACTAAGCAAGGCGAGTGATGTATTAAAATAAATACAGAAATCAAAGATGTGGCGTGTGAGAAGCATAGCATTTTCTGCCACCAGGGCGGTGCCACTTAGAAATGAGGAGAAATATTTGACAGACTGCATGGCGGGGAAGTTAATTTGTTAGAAAAATGTAAAGATTCTTGCTTATTTCCGAAATATTAGTTATATTTTATAATAATTAGATAAGAAATAAATAAAATACAACGAAAAAAAGGGTTAAAAATGTGCAAAAATAAAAGAACGAGCCACTGAGGCATTGTTTTGTACAATTACACACTAGAAATCGATTTATTTTTATTTAAAACGCAACATTTCAATTATAATGATATTGTATCACTAATAACGTCGCTTTAGTGCCAGCTAGCGACATCTGGTGAACGAAAGATTATCAGCACTCATTGGAAATAGCCATAAAATATCGCTCTCTGGATAATGTTCTTTAGTATCAAAGTAAACAAGTGGTAAAATTAAAAATTTTGTACAACCAACTTCAATATAAATTATTAAGGATAACTCAAAAACTACCGCTCAGATCTTGATCAAATTTATATGGGCCACATGAGAAGTATCAGCTTTCAAATAAAGAAAGAATCATCGAAATCGGTTCACCTAGAAAAAAGTTATGAGGTAACACATAAAACAACAGCCTCCCCCAAGGAATGCCACAAAGCACATCCTGCATGTCTTATCAGGTCGTCACTCCGTCTATGTATCGTTCTACACTTCGTGTGTGGGTTGCCCTACACTTTGCCGACCGGTATGAGGCTGGTAATCGAGAACCTTTTTTCCTCCATCGGTTGTGGGTTTTTCGAGCTATATAGCCGGCCTAATGCCATTTCAGCTTACTAATTCGTTAGGCTATGTCAGTCACTCTGCTTCTACTGCGGATATCCTCATTTCTAAGTTTATCACGCAGGGAAACCCCCAGCATAGCCCTCTCTGTAGCTCGCTGAGCGACCTTGAGCTGCCTAATACGGCCAGCAGACACGTCTCAGACCATAAGTCATAACTGGCAACACGCACTGGTTGTACAATCTCATTTTTAGGTTTTGAGGTATACCTGACGAGATATGTCGTATTTTCCCAAACGCTGACCAGCCAAGTTGAAACCGTCGATTGACCTCTCGGTCGAAGTTGGACTTACCTAGTCGGACTATTTGTCCCAGGTAAACATACTCGTCAACAACTTAGAGCTTAGTGCTCTCAACAACTACCGGCATAGGTGATAGGTGTGACATGGACGTTATACATGATCTTTGTTTTGTCCATGTTCATCTTAAGACCTCTCCGTTGGGAGACACTATTGAGGTCATTGAGCATAGTGCTTAGGTCCTCCAGCGAATCTGCCATAAGGACTATATCGTCGGCAAATCGAAGGTGAGTGATGTACTCCCCATTGATGTTAATACCGCATCCTTTCCAGTCCAGTAGCTTGAAAACGTCTTTCAATGCAGCGGTGAAGAGTTTGCTGCAGTTGGATAGGTTTCGTACTCTGGTTCTGTACTCGGATAGCCATCGTAGCCCTACTGAACAAACACTTAAGCACTACGATATACCGACAGTCACCTTGGCACCACTGAATCTTTCTCATAGTCCACATACGCCAGACATAGTACAGAAGTCCGAGGAGTACAATTTGCCGAAGGGTATATAGGTGGTATGTGTTGCTTAAGCATTTTCGGAAACCGGCTTGTTCGGGAGGCTGGAAGTCGTGGAGTCTGCGTGCGAGACGATTCGTAATGACTCTCGAAAATAGCACGTAGACGCAGCTCAGAAGGGAAATCAGTCTGTAGTTCTTCAAGAGAGCGTTGTCACCTTTCTTGAAGAACAAGACCACCGTACTTCTGCTCCACGGAATTAAAGAGCTTCTGAAGGACTTCAAGTACCGGTCTTCCACCTGGACTTTGGATTAGAACACGAGAAGGATAGAGTATTGACTTCATTAGACGACCTCTCCAACTTAACGTTTAGGTTCAGTGTGTCTCTCACCATTCGGTGATTGCTACTGGTTTTCACCCTCGCGATCACTGAAACATCACTCACCAGTTGCCTTCTAGTCGTCCTAATGAAGTCAATCTCATTTTTTGTCGAATCTTCAGGACTCGACAAGGTCCACTTCCTGTGGAGCCGCTTCTGGAAGAAACAGTTCATTACAAAGAGTCCTTCTTTCTACATAAAGTTGGCCAGCTGCTGGCCCACGGGTTCCGTTGCCCTATT